CGGTAAGCTCAGCCGGGCCCTATCGGTTCCCTGGGCGTGCACTAGCGCTCGCTTGTGGTGAGATCTGGGGAGATCTGGGGAGAGATGGGGAGAGATGGGGAGAGATGGGGAGAGATGGGGAGAGATGGGGAGAGATGGGGAGAGATGGGATGCGGCGGAGCGCGAGGGCGAGTGAACAGTGGACTGCGAGCTCCTCATGCGCTAGTCGGCGCTTGACCAGGCGGCGGAGATGTGGGGAGATGTGGGGAGATGTGGGGAGATATGGGGAGATATGCGAGCTCCTCATGAGCTAGTCGGTGGCTTGACCAGGCGGCGGAGATGTGGGGAGAGATGGGGAGATATGGGAGATATGGGGAGATCTGCGAGCTCCTCATGCGCTAGTCGGTGGCTTGACCAGGCGGCGGAGATGTGGGGAGATGTGGGGAGATATGGGGAGATATGCGAGCTCCTCATGAGCTAGTCGGTGGCTTGACCAGGCGGCGGAGATGTGGGGAGAGATGGGGAGATATGGGAGATATGGGGAGATCTGCGAGCTCCTCATGCGCTAGTCGGTGGCTTGACCAGGCGGCGGAGATGTGGGGAGATGTGGGGAGAGATGGGGAGATCTGCGAGCTCCTCATGCGCTAGTCGGTGGCTTGACCAGGCGGCGGAGCGCGAGTGCAAGGCCACGGTCGAGCGCCTCTGTGGCACGTATGACTTGGCGGCTGTGCGGGACAGCAGCCGGCCTGCTGCGGAGCGGGCGGAGGCGGCGCTGGCCAAGCTCGAGCAGGTTTTCTTTTGCTGGCGATGTCTGCCCCACCGCGCCCCTCGCGCCGCCTCGCCTCCGCCGCCGCCGCCTGGTCCCTCGCCAAGCACGCCGCCGCCCGCCCGCGCAGGAGCTGGCGAGATATCTCCCCATATCTCCTCATATCTCCCCATATCTCCCCATATCTCCCCATATCTCCCGCCCGCGCAGGAGCTGGCGAGGCGCCAAAAGGCGCTGGCGGACTGCAAGGCGACCTGGCAGAGCACGATCGGCAGGGCGCACGAGCAGCTGTCGGAGCTGCGCGCGAGGCTGAGCGGCGTCGAGACGGACGCGCGCAAGAGGCAGCAGGACGCGGCGGCGCTCGAGCGGCGCAAGGCGGAGCTGGCGGAGCGGCTGGAGGCGCTCGCACAGGACGAGTCTCGGCACGCGCTGCTGCGGCGCGAGCTCACTTCGATCCGACAGGCGCTCGAGGAGGAAGGGAGGCGGCGTTCCCCTCTCGGCCCGCATCTCGGCCGCATCTCGGCTGTATCTCGCCAGGAGCTCGAGGAGAAGGAGGCGGCGCTGCAGGGGGACGCCGACGGCGCGGTGCAGCAGCAGCTGCGCGCGAAGAAGCACGAGGCGCCTCTCCCCTACCCCCACGGTACCCGAGCCCACCCTCCCCTACCCCCACGGTACCCGAACCCACGAGGTGCGCGAGTGCAAGGACAAGCAGCGCTCGCTGGAAGACGAGATGCAGCAGGCGGATGAGGAGGGCGACCGGCGGCAGCGACTCGACCGGCTAAAGGCGGCGGCGCGCGAGGGCGGCGAAAAGCTAGACGCCGCTGTCAACGCCGGGCGCCCTACCCCCACAGTACCCGAACCCAGCCCTCTCCGGCCTCAGTACCTGCCAATCTCCCCCTCTCTCCCCCTCTCTCCCCCTCTCTCCCCCTCTCTCCCCCTCTCTCCCCCCC